AGGACTGAATCAAAGTGAAACTTTTAATCTAGTTTGACCTCTTTCGAAACTTAGCTGAGTATTAGTGTTAGAATACGTGGAACACTTGTATCATTCTGTCTCTGGACGCTGCTGTAAGGATGGCTTATTTATTTGAAAGCTCTGTTTCCTTTCAGAGAGACTTAATGGCTTTTTCACTGTCTTCCAGGTTCTCATATTAACTAATATCATGCTGGGTATTTATCTCTTTGGATCCTAATTATTTTCTGTTATCCTCAACATGGAATGGAACTCAATTAAATGATCATTTTGGAACGCAGAAAGACAATTACATTTGAAGTAATTATTTTGGATCATGTTGGAGACACCAGCCATCCTTAAAACAAAACAAAAAAATGAACACTGTTGGAGGAAGTCTTTGACATATATGAAACTATGCTCTTCATTCAATATATTGCCCCATTTCCGTAAGTTATAAGTTGTACATGTTGTAGTATATGTGACACAAACTGGTCGCAGATTTTTAGCAGTCCCAACGTTCTTATTCCCAGAACATGCTCTGTGAGAGCAGATTAATTAAAAATGTTCCATCTCCATTCTCTTCCCTTCCCCAAAAACCAGTCTCATCCTCCGTGGAGAAGTAAAGCTTACAAAAAAATGTTTTGCCTATTTTTGTGCATTTATGTAGTTTTGATAAAATACACATTTTTCTTTAGTCTTCACTAAAATATATATATTAATGTCACTGGTGCTGGGTAAGTGCACAAGTCAGGACTTGATTAGTCCTTGCTTGGTAAAATGAACCTAAATAGTGTTAAATAAGTGCTGGTGCGCTGTGTGCATTGTTTTTTGAATGCTCTCACTTTTTTAGTGGTTGAAATTATTTAATGGTTTTCATTATTTCTCAGCTCTTCTGATGTGGTTTTAATACAGCACTTCATCGTACATTTGGATATGCTGTACAAGTTCTGCTTCTCTATTTTTGTTTCAGCAGAACTGCAAGATGCGATTGCAGTCTGAAATGCAAAATTCTGTTTTCTGTGGCAGCATTTTTGTACATTCATGGAGCATGCAGCTCCTTGGACTATCCTGAGTGTTGTTCCTGTGTCTTTTTTTCTGAACTTCTGCTGTCTTTTGGGAGTTACCTTTTCCTGCTTCCACTTTGTATGGGTAACAAGATTCTAACTTGCTTGATGTAGGCAGTCAGTGAAAGTTTTAATTACAGTTTATGAACAAGCTGCTACTGTTGAGAAAAAGTTGAAACTTCCCCTGATGAATACAATTTTCAGGGCAGTGAGAAGCCTGTGAAAAAGTATCAAGCTGATCATCTTTGGCTTGCTTTTTTTTTCTTCTTGGTTTACAGTTGTTTGTTAGTGTTTCTTTATTTTTAAAATGGTTATGTGTGTTATATGCCATGAATTCCTTTTTTTTTTCTTTTTTTGAGATGAAAGAAGTTGAGTTCTGCCTCTGAGAGCAGACTGTTTTTTGAAGAAATGTAAGAAAAGAGGGGAAAATCCACAAATTTTAGTGGTTTTAGTTTGATGTTTGCAGGTTTTGTTTTGTTTTGTTTTTTTGAGAGAGAGAGGTTGTTCTCAATCAAGGCTGTTGGTGAGGGGCTATGTGTATGAAGTTCAGTACTTGACAATAAAGTTTCTCTCCATGAATGCAGAAAAAGCTCATTTGACCTAACAAAACTATGAGCTTTTGGAAAATATACATGGCTCATATAGAGGTTTGTTGCAGGTTTACCCAGGCTACTAATCTGCAAATGCAGGATGAGTTACATCTCCCATGGATTTTCTTTATTTGACCTTCTTAGTAGTATCTTTTAAGCCAATAAAATGCAAATTCGTTAAAGCGAATGAGATCTTCTTTAATCTCACTTACTCTAGTAGCTACAGAAGATGGGGTGTTTCTTGATTCATGGGAGAAAGAGTTTTGTAATGATCTAAAAACAAAATTCCCAGTTATAGCATATAAATGTAGTATATCTGTTTAGTTTTTGCACATCAGTGATAACCATAAAGCACTTCTATTGCCTGGATTTTTCTGGCAAGTTACAAGGTCACTTGGGAACTGCTGCATCTGTGACTACATAGGAGTGTGTTTTGTTTAAAATAAGCATTGAGGTCTTCCTTTCTTAAAATAATGCCTATTCCTTATAATTTCTGAGAAGTGGACTGTATAAACTTGAGTCTCATGGATTGTGTAAGCTGATGTCATTCAGGGATTGATATTCAAGGAAATTACTCCTGCTAATAGTCTGCATATTCTTTGTTCTTCATACTTCCACAAGCAAAAGGGCAATGTGTCTGAGAAGCTCTAAATTCTTTTGCACTTTAATATTGCTTATTTATCAGAAAAGTTGGGAGTTTTTCCAGTGTTGGTAACCATTCTACAGATAGAAAAAACTTTGCTTACTGTAATCTTAAACCTCTCTGTTAGTGAATTAAATGAGTCGTTAAACTCTTAACATAGGTTATGTTTGAACTAATGTAAGGCTGGACTACCACTGCAGAGAGCTGTCTCCATTGCTATAGTTGCATGTTTCTGTTGCATCGCTTGTTCCGCAATCAGGCAATCATGTGGTTGCTTTGCGCAGTGCATCAATGAAAACTAGTTCATTACTATGACCACATATTTCTTGGTACTGACATGGTGATGATGGGAAGAAACCATTATAAGGGACTTGAGAGCACTTAAGTGTCTGTTTCAGTGGCAGCACAATCATAAACTGATTGAAGCAATCAAATTGTGAAGCTACTCCCTAATTTTTTTTGTCCTGGATATACACATACATACAGAACCAGTGTACATAGAGATATGTAGCCACGACATATTTGGCATACATATGGTTAAACGTTTTATACATACTCTTACAAGAATAAACAGATATTTCCTTCCACTTTCTCAGTCCATTGGGAACCTGAACTGTGTGCTGGTTCTGGTAGCCATAATTACTTGATCTGTCTTTAAATTTAAAATTTAATCTGTGATCTAACTTGTTTGTGCTGATAGCTGATTTATATTAGCTAGATGCCTGAATGATAACTTGACTAATGTCTCTCTGGCTTGTGGCAGGATGAAAACTAAACAGTTTCTACACCTCACTTGAAAAATAGGTCTGATGGGATATCTAAGAATAAAAAATAGTTATTTGCAGAGATGTAAGAGATATGCTTTTTATCTTTGCAGAATGTTTTTTCAGCTTTTCATTTCAGATGCTATGTGAAGTGTACTGTGGTAGTTTGTAGGGGAATTTAAGCGTTCTCATAAAGCATACTCTGATTTGACAGGTCTTTCAGCATAGTCTATAGCTGACCTTCTTCTTAATCTCCAGCTATTTGTACTGACTTGCTGAGAATGAGAGCAAGATTAATCAATAGCATGTAGTTTGGTGCTTGAACACTGAAGACAATGCTACCTTCATAATTTTTTTTCTTGTATAGGAAACCAAAGGCAAATACAGGAGTTACAAAACAGACCCTATTAAATGAATGTTCTACAGTGTCAACTAAATGACCATGAAAGAGAATGCTTATCTATAAATCTTTCAGACCATTGAAAAAATTCTCCTTTTTCTCTTAAAAATCTAAAATTGTGTTGATAAACCAAAGGGAAGGTCTCCTGGGCGTGGAGGGAGAAATCCCTTAAATCACTGTATGGAAATGCCTTGAAACATGATTGGATCGTACAAAGCAACTTCTAAGCTCAAGTTCCTTAGTTGTCAGCCTTCTTTGCAGAGGTCTTCATAGCAAACAATCTGAAAGAATTAGAACTTAATAAAGGGAGTTCTGCCATAATTGTCTTATACTATAATGCTCTATGGAGAGACACGTGAAGTTACATAAGCTTATTTGACTATGTCTGAATGAACAAAGATCATGATGACCTTTAAGACTCTCATAATAGGATGTCTGGGATGGGTAGTTCTTTCTTGCACTATGGGAAGCATGCTGGTCATACGACTTAAGTAAAAGCTGTAATTTATTGTAAGGAAATAAATGTGCTCAGAATTGAATTAGTGTTAAAATTTTGTTCTCTTTGCAGGCTACAGCTTGCAGTAGCTGTTCGCAGGCTAGTACTATTGTCTTTAGTCAGTTCATTTGTGTTGATACTCTCGAGTCTGTGTTGGATTCTTCCTTTTTTTAGTCCTGACTTCCACCCCTACCCCACCCTTGGGAAAATCTTCAGAACGCTATCTTGAACCTCTTCATTTGTCTATTAATCAAATATAGAAGTGGCTTAATAAGAACTACACTGTTTGTGAATTAGCAAACCCAGAGCAGGATTGGTGGCAGCCCATCAAGTCAGTAGCTTGTAATATAAAAGCCTTTTTTACGTTTTTCGTTACAATTACGAAATTAAAATATAATATCCTTGGACATATATAAACTTGTGCCAGGGGAAGGATAGTCAAAAATAGTAATGTGCATATTATTGATTGTTCATCACAGAAAACAGACACGATAATTTCAGTCTGGATTTAGTAAAATGGAAAGACTTTCAGGAGGAACTAGATAGCATCAGGAGGGAATCCTTATCACACTCTACTTCCAGTGTTTGAAAAGTTTTTCAGTATTTCTTGACTTATGGTTGTAACGTTGTATTCAAATGAGTCTTGTGTTGACTTGGTGAATCTGCCGGGTTTGTAACGCTATTTGGTTTTTTCTTGTTTTTTTTTTCTACCCAGCTTCTGCAGCCTGACTGTCTTAATAGTTGGAAACATTGCATACAAAGACTGATTTGATACTCCATTTGGCATTTCCCATATTATAATCTTCACCTTTTTTTATGTTACCTAAATTTCCATCCTGTCTTTAAAATCTGGGTTACAGGAACCTCCTATTTATAATACTGTGTTTTGAAATGAAATTTTGTTAATGTTCGTGTTCTTTTTCGTCACTTCAAAATACTTGAATTACAGAACAATAATGATACAGTGTGTGAATACAAAAAGTTGTTAATGAAAATGGTGTCGTTTCCAGTTTGATGCAGTTTGGTTTTGTGTTATGCTGTAGGTCTGTCAAATGGTTTTGGAGATGGAAGTAAAGAGAGAGCATTAGATGATACTCCGGGAAGAAAAGTTGAACCCCGTCGCCGCTGTGCATCAGAATCTAGTATTTCATCGAGTAACAGTCTTTTGTGTAGCTCAAGGTAAACCTGTAAATTTGAAATACAAATTTGAGACTGAATATAGCAGCTTTTCTATACTGCTTGTGACCCACAGCAGTGGATTGCGTAAATTTTAGAAAAAAAGAGTACATTTCAATTTTCTCAGTTGTGTGTCAAATCTGAGACATCTTTCAGGATTGCTAGTATTCTTTTGTTGAATTCAGGTTGTTGCAGATCTGGGCAGTTGCACTTTATACTTTACTATGCTTCTCTTGCTCTGTATAGATACATGTGTTTGTGCATATAGTAACTTTTTTTAATTATCTTCCTAATCCTGAACACTAAAATGTGTGTGTTTGCTTTGGTGAGGGAAGGAGAAAAGCAATTTCCAAAGCAGAGTCTTGTACACAGGGAAGGTAAATTCAGTAGCTGTGGAACTGTAGATTATCAGTCTGTGATCTGGATTACTGGCTAGTTACTGCAGTGATGATAGTACCCGTATACCAACTATTGACCTTCTCTTTGTGAAGTCTGTTGTTAAAGACAGGACTGTCGGAATGGTCACCTCTGCCACCATTGGTAAATATTTCTCCATCACCAGTGGTGCACATCTTCCAAAAGCACACTAATCTCAGAATAAAAGGTAGCTGTCTCCAGTCCTGGGCTCTGAGGATGGGGAATACAGGAGTATGGGTTAAATCTGTTAGAGAAAAAAAGGCTTTATTCATGTGTTCAAGATTGGTATTACACTGTTTAAGGGAATGGTGTTAATGCACTCATGTCAAACAAGCTTTCAGAAACAAAGAGAGGTTAATATTGCATCTCTTGTGAATATGATGTATTGAGGATTTGATCTAGAATAATTACCGTTCGGGTTCTATGATCTCTTTAAAGAAAACTAAAGTGTGCAGAGAACAAACTTCTGATTTTTGGGTATAGACATTCTGCAATTGAAAGACTTGAATTTGTAGCAAAAAATGAAAGATAAAATAATTGTCTTTCCTGTGTAGTGGAACTGTTGGAGCAGATGGAATATGTTTTCATTTGGCCAGTATCCACTGTAACACTGGAGACAAAGCAGCTTCTCTCATTTGTGCATGTCTAACCTGTACAGCAGTTGAGGTGCAGTTGCATACTGTTTGTCTTTTGCTGATAACCAGGCAATTCTGTGCATGAAAATAATTTGGGGTTTTGGTTTTTATATTGTTGTTTGTGTTTGTTACATAAAATTTGTTAGAGATTGCTGCTCTGATTTTACTGTGTACTGATGAATTTTAAATTCTTTTTCAAAGTCTTGATTTATACTGAACAATGTTCATTATCAAGTAACAGTTTTAATATTAATACTTTTTTAGTTTCAGCCTACCAAAGTGTGGTAAAGGTAAACCTGCACTTATACGAAGACACACACTTGAAGACCGAAGTGAATTGATATCATGCATTGAAAATGGAAACTATGCCAAAGCAGCAAGAATTGCAGCTGGTAACTATAAATAATTGTATTCTTAATAATATTGTATAACTATAATTTTTTCCATTTATTTGACAGATTCTAGCATTCTTATTTTTGCTGCTGAAATAGATTAAGCATTCTGAAAATGGTGTTGATAACATTGCAGAAACGACTTGTTTCTGCTTTTGACTCTAAAGACTTTGAAGAGAAAAGAATAGTAGCTGATTTTGGTTTTTTGATTAATAAGTAGTATTTAAAGTGATCAAGCTACTCTAGTAATACAAGCAAAACTTCACCTGAAGTAGTATTTGTGGTTCTGTCGATATTTTTCTTTGTTGGGCTTTTTCGTTTAGGGTTTATTTCTCATATACTGGTCTGCATAAACATGTTGACAGATGGATAAGACATGGTCTGCTTTGATGCAGGAAAAATTTGAAATTGGAAAGTAGATATTTCTAGGAATGTAGAGGATAGTATGTTACCAAATTTTAGGGAAATAACGATGTTCTGTTGATATGTTTTCCACCTGTTTCTATGTTTTAATTGCATTACAAGGTTTAAGTAGGTCATCTCTTCCCTAAGTAGAACTGTGTTTGTGTAATGCAGTGCTCCATGCTGAAGTTAGGCATCAGCCTTGCAGTGTCTAGCAGGCCTGTCTTTAGTTTCTGACCTTAGAACTCCTCTCCCCCTCATCCTGGGTGTTCCTTGTCCAGGACACTTTCATGTCTTTCTAGTGCTTTTATCTGACTCTGTTTGCCTTGGTCTGTTCTTTCCTCCCCATATGATCAGTTTTGTTTCTTCCTTGCAGCTAATCTGTTTTCAGCTACTGCTTCATTACTCTAAGGTTTAGTATCTTTATTATCGTATGGTAACCTCTCATACAGGACTTAACCTTTCCCATTTGCTTTTCTTACTCTGCCATGGGTAGTCTTCTATTTAACACTTTCCACTTAGAATTCCTATACCTGTTTTTTCAGAACTTTCCTTGTTCTCTTTCAGTTCTGTCTGTGTTCTCAGATAGATTATACAGCTACCTAAAAGAAGGAGCAAATTACATTTAACAGCATTATTTTTTGTATTACTATATGTTCTGTCTAGTTTGAGCTCTTTTGGCTGCCTTCTGCACCCTGTTACCTCAGCAGATCAAGAGGAGGAAATAAGTAGGAGGGAAGTGAAGACTCCTGCTTATGTTCTGTGCATAACTGGAATTTTACCATGATTAACTTTTATTAGTTAAACCCCAGATTTTACGAAGTAACTTAAAGGGTCGTTCATTGTTGGCAAAATGTCTCAAACAGTTGTTTGACAGAGTCTATATGCTTTAGAAACAAATACAGTGCTTACAGTTATGCTGCCTTTAGGTCAAAGGAATATCTTGTTTCTATTTACAAGATGCTGTCTCAGAACCTGTGGTATGGTATGTTGTAACACTGCAATTAGGATGGGATGCAGTTTTGCATTGATTTAATGGATGTAATCATTGTAATGCATGCACACTGAAATACGTTAGTCCACACACAAACAATGTTAAAAGAGTGCTGTTGAAATCACAAAACCAAGTGTGCAAGTTGGGGCATGCTGTTTTCTGTAATACTGCTGCCACATTCAGCATTTTTGACTTGTGAGACTGAGTGAGGTATGCTTTAGAACCAGGTCCACTCAGCGTACTGGACAAGTTAAGACTATTATGGAAAAATATGTTCTATATTGAAATATGAAGGTTATATTGAGATATTAATACAGAAGATGGATTAAAGTTTCAAAGACAGAATTCTGTCTAACTTTTGAGGCTTGAACTTGTAGGCTTAATAGGGTTTTCTCGGTTTTCAAATAGAATTATTTGTATGTAGTACCTTGTTGTCCTTGGTGTGCAAGAGCACTGGAAGATGAATAGGCATGCGCTATGAGTGGTTTTCATTAATAGCTGCTGTATACAGGGATGTGCTGACATTTGTAGGTCTTGGATTCCTTTATAGGGTCAGGAAGTTGCTGTGCCAAAGTGGCAACATTTTCTTTGCCTGTCCCTCCTGAACCTTGCCCCAGTCTTTTTGCCTGGCTATTCCTTGTTCCTTGATCCAAGAATCTTCTCTAGCTCTCCTGCTCCCAGGTTCTCTCGTGCTTTTTGTCCCAGTTTCAAATTCTTTGTCCCCATCTTTGTCCAGCCAGTTGATCCACCCTCTTGTCAGATTTCCCCCCCCCCCTCCCCCCCCTCAGTAAGTCTTAGTGATGGTATTTTTTCCAGCAGTGTCTAGATGCTGTCTTTCCCTTCAGTCCCATCAGACTGGTAAGCAAGAGTGGGCAGGGCACAGGTTGTAGGGGAACATTTTGCTGCATTTGACTCAAATAGCTTTTCCCTCTGCGTGGTCTAAATTTCAACAGGTAACATTGACAGCAGAGAGAACACTTTGTCCAGCCAAGAGTTACACAGTAAAAGGAAAGTATTGATTTATCATCTGTGCTAACGAATGAGCAGATACCACAGCCACCTCTTGGGTGGCAGTAGTTTCAGAGCTTAAATGTGCTTAATGTCAGTGGATTTGTCTGCAGATTTAGGTGTTAAAATCAAAGTTTCCTCTATGTAAACAACAACAACAACAACAGAAAAAAAAAAGGTAACACTGTGCACTATTAATCTGATCATCTTTCAGGAGACTTTCCTGTTTGTGGCTGAAGTTTCTGGTTTAAAATAAAATTGTCCTTTGAAGAGCTTGCATTCCTCGCTGAAAGCTACGCAGATATTGCGTTTGAAGTTCTTAGCTCTGTTTTTGAAGACAGAAGTGCCTTAAAGTTTTGAGACTTGTGACGACGGCATGTAAGGGGTGTTTTGCTCAACTTCCCATAAAAAATTAAACATATTGACTCTATTATGAGACTGATATTGAAAAAAACAGTGGTTGATTTAAAAATATTGTAAGAAGTCTGTAAGGGGAGGAAAAGTGTAATGAGACATCCTTATCTTTACCCTAAACTGTGTAGGATCTTAAGTCTGGTTTGTGGTGTTTCAGTACTGTTGGTTTTCAGCTAGTGGGAATACTGTTGTTTAAAATCTTTAGCAGTATGTTGTCCTGACTGCTAACTTAAATTCATTGTCTCTCGTAGCTTGAGGAAATACAGTGGTGTTTATGTTGGAAAGAAAAACTAGTAACCTATATGTGCTAGTATAGTAACCCCCTATCACCATGTGGGAAAAATTCTGGGACTCTTTTCTACTGTGTATACACCTGAGAAGTCTCTGAGGGGATCTGGCTGCATGCATCCTGTCAGACTGTGTATGACCTTCCACTCAGCATTAAAATACCATTTTCTTTGTGTCATATCAACTCAGCAGCTGAGAATAATGTAGGTTTCTTTTCTTTCTTGTCAGCTGCCCTGAAGAAGAGGACTTGTACTGTTTTTATGTACCAGATACAGTTCTATATATATGTTTTTCAAAATAGTCTGTGTATGAAGGATACATTAATCTAAACCTTCATGACACTTTCTAACTGGCACCTGAATACTTAACATACTGTTATTAATAGAGCAGAGAACTAAAAGAAATTGTTGAAGTTGCTTTTTCTGTTGTGTTAGCTATTGCTCTGGTTGTTTTATTCTGAGATATTACCAGGATGGTTCATCTGGATTTAACATGTCTTTCCATAATATCCAGTGTTTCATGTATTCAGCTATACTCTTAGAAGTACAAGAATGCAGTATGTATTATATTTGTGTGTATTATATGTTTATAAATCTGAAGAATATTACTATGGCTTTTAATGAGAAAGTTAATGTCCAAGAATGCCCTCTCAAAATATACAGAAAGGAACAAATAAACAAAGTAGTAAATAGATTTAGTAACTGTTTTTCCAAGGTCATGTAGTTCAGTAAGAAATAGTGTAAATAAGACAAATCAATTTCATGGGTTTCTGTAATGGAATCCACTAATTAAATATCTCCTCTGTAAAGCCTGCAGAGATTGCTGACAAAGATACCTGTTTTCTTTAGGAGACTTGGTCAAGGTCTTAAAGACACTGGAAAAATTGCATTTGTTTCTCTTTCTCCTATGATGCCCACACCTATAATAGAACCTGTAACAACTTTTAGCTTCAAAAACATCTAACATCTTCGTTATGCTGTGGTGGCAAGTTATTATGAACTATTGCGTTTTGATAACTGATGTTACATAGTTGTGCATCTCTAAGGTCACACTTCCCAACAAAGTATTTTCTTGAAATGTTGATACCATTACAAATTAAAAATAAACTACAATTGAATGAATTGGCCTTTGGCTGGAAATTGACCTAGAATGTATTCTGGAGAATGATGGACTTTTTTTTTTTTTTGTGTGTGTGTGTGATCACCTTAAACAGTTTTTCCTTGCTATTTCTACTCTTACAAGGTCTGAAACCACTACTTTTCAAGTACTGTTTTGTGATCTTGAGATAGAAGGTATATCTGCATGCCACATTTCATAATAAATAAGCATTGCCCATTTTAAATGGGAGCAGATTGGGAAGAATTGAGGAGTAAATCATGTTTTGGCAAATAGAGAGCTACTTCTATCAAGTATTGCCTTACTGCTAAAAAAAGTGTGACTGCAACCTCTGAACTGTATTTTGGTACCACGTTTCCCCATACAAGAAGTGCCGCCTCATCTTTACAGCTTGTGAACTTCCATTACCTTCTTTCTACTTGTTCCACCTCCAGTTCCATCTTGAGGCGATAGTCTTCTGCCCAGTGTCTTGACCATATCCCTATGTGTCTAGGGGGCAGTTGTGGTTCTGGGTGACTGAAAGACTTAAACCTGTCTCATCCTTCAATCCAGTGGTGAGCAATGGAAGAAAACAGGATTCTGGTGGAAGGGAGCAGTAACATAAACTCGGTTTTCTGTTATGCTGCCTCTTGAGAAGGAAAAAAACCACTATTGTAGCTGCTTCCTTGAATCCTGTTGGTCTTTCTGAACTTTGTTGCAGGAAAGGGCTGGGCAGAGAGACCAAGAGGGCTGATAAAAAATAAACAATCTGCATTTTAATTTATATTTATTTAGAACTTGCGCATAAGAACAGAAAGGTATACCAGACAAGCATTGTAAGTTTTCAGCTGCTAATCCTACTATGGATATCCAGCACTCTGCAAGTTGCAACACTAGTTTCAAAAGAAACTGGTTATTTGGAGTACCATAATTTTAGTTTTTCTTTTGAGCTTTTTCAAAGGGAAAGGCTTATTAGAATTTGGCAAACACTTGGATTTATGATAATTAAGCTGTTCTAAGATACGCTGTTTCTAGAAGTATCTAAAAACTTGTTCTTTATCTGTAGGCTTGGATTAAAGTACTAGTATCATTTAAAGACCTGTTATGAACATTACCTGCTTTTTATTGGTATGTGCGTGAAAGGTAATATTGGTATGTGGAGTCTAATGATCAGGAGCTATTCATGGGGAAACAAAGAACTTCAGAAGATTTCATTCTTTAACATTTTAAATTTATATTTAATTATTATTTGTTCTTAGAAGTTGGGCATAGCAGTATGTGGATTTCAACTGACGCTGCAACATCCGTTCTTGAGCCTCTAAAAGTAGTATGGGCCAAATGCAGTGGATATCCCTCTTACCCAGCTCTGGTAAGTACACAGGTTCCCATCAGTACTCTAGTGATACTGTTCCTGGTCTGAAAATACTGGTGCGTGAACATAAGGTCGTCGGTAAATTCCCATTCAGGTTGAATAAAGGTGAATTATTCTGCCCTCTATACCATGCATCCAGTTTGTAAAATTATTGCATTATCAGATGTTGTGTCAATAATCTCTACCAACCTTCCCATCTTTTGAGATGTGCAATACCTGTTGTCGTGGTTTAACCCCAGCTAGCAACTAAGCACCACACAGCCACTTGCTCACTCCCACCCACAGCAGGATGGGGAAGAGAATCAGAAGACTTAAAGTGAGAAAACTCATGGGTTGAGATAAAGGCAGTTTAATAGGTAAAGCAAAAAGCCATGCACACAAGCAAAGCAAACCAAGGAATTCATTCCCCACTTCCCATGGGCAGGCAGGTGTTCAGCCATCTCCAGGACAGCAGGGCTCCATCATACCTAACGGTGACTTGGGAAGACAAACACCATCACTCCGAACGTCCCCCCCTTCCTTCTTCTTCCCCCAGCTTTATATGGGTTGCATGATGTCCTATGGTCTGGAATACCCCTCTGGTCAGTTGGGGTCAGCTGTCCCGGCTGTGTCCCCCCCCAACTCCTTGTGCCCCCCCAGCCTCCTCGCTGGTGGGGTGGGGTGAGGAGTAGAAAAGCCCTTGGCTCTGGGTAAGCACTGCTCAGCAGTAACCAAAACATCCCTGTGTTATCAACACTGTTTCCAGCACAAATCCAAAACACAGCCCCATACTAGCTACTGTGAAGAAAATTAACTCTATCCCAGCCTAAACCAGCACACCTGTCTCAGTACTTTGTTTCTGCAATATGTCTTACTGTTTAAAAGATGAACTGAATTAGCCTTTGACAGACATCTTGTTAGTGTTGGAACTATAAGATATTTTCTGCTGCAAAATTAGCATAAAAATATTCTGATCCTGCAGTTCATTAAAGAAACAAAAAACTTGGTAGAGTTGGAATAAATTGAATGATTGTATCCAGTTGTGAATGATGTACTGGAAACTTAAAGCTGTTGTGCCTGTGTTATTTTAGGAGAAGCACACACAGTTCTACTTACATCAAAGCTTGCAGAGAAAATGTTGTTGATAAAGTGCATTTGGGGTTAAACAGTTCATACACTATGGGTTGATTTATATAATAGACTGGACAATCTTGACTTTTAGTATATGTGTGCTGGGGACATCAGGAAACGTAATCATACAGAATCAGGTTAAGACTGGTGGAGGTGAGATTCAGAGCACTTGAGTTTAAGTGCCCTCAGTGGGTGATTTGAACACTCTTAGGTCAGATGCTGAAAATTTGATGATTTGATTGTGTCTTGAATGGTATTAGCACGTTAGTGTTAGATTTAATCTGGTTGTGACCAAATGGCTCCTTTTCTGCCCACTCCTTTGTCAGCAGTGATTTTTCTCTGAATGTGTGATGAGTTGACTGAGGAATTAAACCTCAGTCAAGCGAAGAGAGTTGTTCTGATTTCTACAAACTCCCCACAGTGTTAGCTTTCTGTTGATTTAGTTCTTATAATCAGTTTACTCTGGATTAAGATTGGTGCCAGTGTGGATGCTAGAAAAACAACAGGAGTTTGTAGGGTAGGAGGTGAGTGGAAGAGGCATGGAGTAACATAACCCTTCTTTGGTGAAAGCTGAGCACTTGATAATGCTGTGATCTGCCTACAAAGGAGTGTTTTCTCCATCAGCCTCATTAGTTTAATGTTAGCAGCATCTCCCTCCTTCCCCCAACTTTCATTCAGAAAGAATTTGTGACTGTAACTGCATGTTTTGCTGAAATTAAATTGGATATGTCATTAAATTGGATATGCAAGATACTTGAAAGTGACTTCTGATTTCTTTTTTTTGGTTTGGGTTTTTTTGCTTGTTAGAGGGCTTTTTGCTCCAGATTTTGAGTGTGGGGCTTGTATTTTGCAGAAACAAGTATTTATACCTTAACATAGGTTGTTTCTTTAAGGTATTCTGAAATTCAAAAACAAAATTCGAGGTCATTTAGGCTTTTAGAAATCCTGGTTCAGCTTTCTCTTTCTGAAACTTGCTTGTCAGTCTGCAAAGTTGTACTAAGTGAAATTCAGATGTGACTTTTAAGAAGAACTGATATAGCTGAAAAATGCTCTAGAGATAGTTTTTTCAGTTAAATCTACTGCTGTTGCCTCCAATATACCTATTCAGTTTATCTCAAGAAGTTGTGTGTGTGACACAAAGCCAGTTTATATGCAGTAGCTGTTTAGTTTATGATTCTTTTCCTATTAACTTTATTTTTAATATCTCCTTAAAATAAATGATGTAGTTTTAAAAATTAGGAACTGTCCTTTCTTTTCTTTTGTAGATTATTGACCCTAAGATGCCTCGTGTTGCTGGCCATCACAACGGTGTTACTATACCAGTGCCACCTCTGGATGTACTGAAAATTGGAGAACAAATGCAGACCAAATCAGATGAGAAACTATTCTTAGTACTATTTTTTGACAATAAAAGAAGTTGGTATGTTATTGAAATGTATTGTTTGATGCAGAGACTTAAAATTCTAAAAGCCTGTACCTTTAATCTAGAAGAAAATTGAAACATTACCTTTCCATGGATATCTTTCCTATGAAGTATCAACTGTAATCTTAAAATTTCATAGATGAGTCTATTGTTGGACTAAGGCATGTCATTACTGAAAGATACCTTTTTATGGTCAGTTTGAAAGAACGTAATAAAAGCCGTTAAATAGTCTTTTGGTTTGATTTACAAGCTGGTTTCATTTATTGACATGATAAAATTGCTGCTTTGGCTAAACAGGCTTTTTAAAGGTAACAGTCTTTAGGGTTTTTTTTCCCAAGTGTGCTCAAGTGTATTTTCTTTAACTTTTTAACCTCTCTGGTTTAAATGCTTTAACAACACTCTCATCTGAAGTTCTTAGCCTTTTCTAAATTTTTTCACAAAACCTTCCCTTTTTCCATTACTTTCAGTATCAGCAGTATGCCACGTGGAGCCTGAAGGGATAATTCACACAATAAAACATTCTTTTCCCCTTCCAGTAGCTTTTTTTTTTTTTTTTTAATTTTATTTTATTTTTAGCGCTTTTTTTGGTGTTTTTTTGTTTGGTTGGGGTTTTATGGGTTTTTTTTGCCAGATACGGAAGCTTTTCATCTACCTCTCTTTCTTCCTTTCATCAAATCTTGTATTTCTTTCCTGTGTTCTTCTTAATACATCTACTCTCTGGCTTTCCACACAGGTCAAGCTAGCTTTAAATCTTTTTACATCTTAATTTTACTCTTGAGTTTGCTTACATTTTCAGATACCATTTTCCACTTTAGTTGATTATATGTGATGTCTAGAAATGCTGCCATTCTCCCAACTCTCTCTGTCCCAGTATACTATCACCTAAATAACTTCTTGCCTGAAATTTAGAACTTTGCTTTTCTGTCTTCATAGATCCTTTGGCATAATAGTGATTCTTTGGCTTGCTCTCTCTGTTCTTCAGTTCTTTTCTTAATTAATTGGTACTTCTTCATGATCATCTTTCTTCAGTTGCACAGGATTCCATGAGATCCTGCATTCTTCTGCCTTCGTTCGTGGAGAACATGCAAATTTAAACATATTCAGTGTTCTGTTTCTCATTTTTCTCTTATTGCTATCACAAGTCTAATGCATGCTCCCCCTAGCCACTTCCTTAATAATTGCTGTGATTTGCTTCTTGATCTTGGGAGTCCTCTGCAGCTTAAACCTTTCTGATTTGTCACCATATGCAGGTGGTCCTAAATCTTGTAAATAATATGCAAAGCTGTCTTTAATGGATACTATGCACAAATGGACAGGAAAGGCTAAATACTTTTCTAGCCCCTTGCCCCTCTCCTCTCCACCGCCACTCCCTCAGCTTTTTTGAAAATTGTTTTTATCCTGATTATTTTGGCCATTTTGGCACTTACCACTCTAACTCACTTTTGTCTCTTTTACTCCTGAACCCGTGTCTATGATTTTCATTCACTTGCAGGGTATATGTCATATTCAGTCCATGATGCCAGTTTCTATCACCTATGGATTACTTTTTCAGATAGTCATACTTGTTTCTTCTCCTTTGCTGCTTGCATCTGGAGGACTTGGCAAGCTTTCTGTTAAAAATACCTTCTTAAAACTTCCCTCTTATCTGTGTTAAAACTGATAATGGTTAGACTGCTGCTTATCGTGCTGATGTTGCTATTCTTTACTGTTCTGTCTGTGTCCTTGTACTGACTCTACTTTTTTTTTGTTCCAGTGTGTGTGCTCAGTACAATAGGATTGTAGTTTAGAGTGCTTTAATAAAAAATATTTAAAGAGACAATTTTATTCAGTTAAAAAAATCTTGAATAAAATGTTTTATATCAGACTTTACTGTCTGATTTGCAGTTGGTTTGGTTCCAAATGGACTCCCAAACTGAAGTTTTTAAACAGAAGCTTGGCTTTTGCCATTTGCAGGGTTGGGATTGCAGGCTACAGTAATATACTTTAATAGATAATTCATTAGTTTACCTAATTTTTGTTTTCCATAATACCTGTAATTTAAGAAAACAGGATTAAGATAATTAAATTTACTTAATTTCCATAAATGTTTAAATATTTAGAATGCTTTTCCTTTAACTAGAAGAATGGGGTGTAAGAGCTTTTTTCATTATCACTGCTGTATGCCCAGGAATTAATGATATTCATGGAGCTTAAAACAGAAAAGTACTCTGAATACTGAGTTAGTGGGATTTCATACTGGTTAAAAGCATACTAAGCAGAACTTCCCTGACAGTTTAGCTTTCCCCATAAAAACAGATTGAGATGTCTTAAATGTAAGGCAAAAATTTATCATCAGCAAATTCCTTTTAATAATGGAAATGAAAGAATGAAGAGAAACAAAACTGTCAAGTGAATCTTGAGCCACATTCATTGTTAGTTGCTGCTGCCTATTCTTAAACTAAACTGCATCAGTATTTCATGCTGATTTTTTTTAGTTGATACTTAATATCAATCATTAAATAAGTGTGATTGAATTGGAATGTATTTTTTGTTTTGTGGAAGAGGCTTTCTTAATATTTTATGTTCTTAAAATATTTAAGGAAAGTACGTACTATCTTGAAAGGAATTTTATCACTTTATTTAAGATAGTAAAGCTGATCTGATATATGAGAAACACAATACAGCAGCCCTGGTATTTCTGGACAAACTTCTTGATTTTATTCTGTATTTAACATACTTATTTTACCCTTTCTTACAGGCAGTGGCTTCCCAAATCCAAAATGGTTCCCCTTGGGATAGATGAGACCATAGACAAGTTAAAAATGATGGAAGGACGTAACTCAAGCATACGAAAAGCAGTAAGAATTGCTTTTGATCGTGCTATGAATCACCTGAGTAGAGTCCATGGAGAACCAGTCAGTGACTTCAGTGATATTGACTAACAGAGATTCTATCAAGGCATGAAAAATACCACACAGACTTGAACTCTACTAATGAACCTCTTTGTCTAAAAGAATGTATTGAAGATACAACCCCTTAATTGTTGATTCAGTGGCTGAGTTCTGCAAACTTGAAATAGTTGAGCAATTCTTCTAAATCACCATTGCCATACTGATTAATGATTTTATCGTGTTGTAGTTTGGAGGATTTTCCACTAAACCTGTTAAAATGTCTTGTTCATAGTGTTCATAATTGTACATAAATGTATATTCAACACTTAACTTATTCTGATTTTAGAAGTAGCTCTTTAATTCCTTTTATAATTTTGCTGGGGAGGGAGTTGTTTTTTGTTTCCATGCTTTTTACTTCTTTTTTTCTTTCTTTCTGAGGTTAAGTTACCTAAGCACCATCTTCCAGCTTAAGGTGTTTAGTGGATTTTAGAGCCTAATATCAAAATGGCATCAAATATATGTTTGCCTAAATCATATACAATATGGTGCTGCTTGTATCATTTCTTCCTTGGTCTGTAGCTTCTGAAAAAGACTTCTGAATGTTTGTGTAAATGATTGCTCTTTGCACAAAGTACCACATATTTAAGATTGATGTAAATTTACAATTACAAATATGTATTTTAAGAAAGGAAGTTGCATTATTTTGGAGGGTACTTTGTGAGAAAGACATCAACAAAAAAAATTATACTATGTACATCACTTGCAAATCACCAAAAACACTCCATTGTTGCCCAAAATAACTTAAGATGGTTTTTGTTTTAAACAAACCTGGCTTAAAGCCTGCAAGCACATTCTTTCTTTCAAAACCATATCCCATTTATCTCCCATTGATTTAATTTTGTTGATATGTGTGCCTCCCTGTGTTTTATTTATTGTAGAAAATGTATTAATTTGCTTTATAATGAAAAATAAAATTGACAAATATATTGATATGCATTTTTATACAGGCACATGAGAAGACAACTTGCTTTGGGAGAAAAATGTATTGGAAATTGTATAAAATAACTTGATGGTTTGTGTGTAATTTGATTTTTTTGTAACTTGTAATCTTTTGTTTCCAATGAGGGGATTTATGTAACTTTTAATTTAGAACACTTTGGTAGCAATAGAAACTTTGGATACATTTTTGTATGGTACATGTGATGTATATAGAATTAGTACTTTATTTTTATTTTTAAGAAGTAAAGCATTATGTTTGGGCAGGGGGAAGAAGGAGGGTGGGTTTCCAGAACTGCATTTTTATATTAAAAAGAAAAAAAAATAAAGTCAAGATATTGATTGTTGTAGCTACTTTATTCCTACCTTCACTGAGATACCGAATTTGTAACAATGAAAATGGCAAGGTATGTTTGCAATGTGATTTATAATGACTCCATTATTTATAAATGCACTGTGTTTGAACTCTTTTGCAGTGGTATCTTAAATACTGTACCAAGTTATATAATATGAAACACCAAATAATGCATACGAATGCACGAAGTATTTATGCCCAGCTTTTTTATAAAGGATTAGCAAATACAGCAAAACCAATACTTTTTAAATCTTTTTTTAAAACTTCATTGAATAGCATACTTCATTGTTAAACCTGCTTGAATCTTTATTTTAAAGGGACAATTACTTTTTAAATAGTTTTTAATGTTTTTATTCTCTATTGTTTGTAATACCCCCTTAGAAGCTTGAAATAAAATTTCTTTCTCAACTGTTAATTTTGTCCTGAATTTAGCCCCTGAGATTTTGCTCTAGTGCCCATTTTCTTACTCCATGACTGAGCTGTTAACAGAGGTGCTAGTTCAAGAATCTTGATTGTTTTCTTGCTGTGGCATGCAGTATCATCCTTACTGAGCCCTCTGCATGGTGGGTATTCTAGCTAGCTAAACTAGCTGAGACCAGTCGCCTGTAATGGACTCTATCCAACTCATCTTTGTAATTACTAAATTTCACAAATGATCAAGCAAATAGTTTTCTCAGTCTGTACAGTAAACACAGCTTTAGGGGGAGTAGTGATGGCAGGTATCCTGCAAGGACCATCATTGAGGTGTGCTGCTGTGATAGAAACAACAGCCACATCAGGTAGAAAAATAAAATTTGGTTGTTTGCCTTAATAGAATTTCTGTGTAATGACTTCAAGGATCTGCCATATAACCATGGAGTCATAGAATGGTTTGGGTTGGAAGGGACCTTTGAAGATCATTTGGTTCCAACCTCCCCGCCATGGGCAGGGACACCTTCCACTAGACCAGGTTGCTCAAAGCCCCATCCAGCCTGGCCTTGAACACTTCCAGGGATGGGGCATCCACAGCTTCTCTGGGCAACCTGTTCCAGTGTCTCGCCACCCTCACAGTGAAGAACTTCTTCCTTACATCTAATCTAAATCTATCCTCTTTCAGTTTAAAGTTATTACCCCTTGTCCTATCACTACATGCCCTTGTAAAACCATGGTCATCTTTGAAGGGAATGGAGCTTAATTTGTACAATATTGAGACAGTAGAACCACTTGTTGTCTGTTAGGACTGCCTCTTAAAAGTCGTCGGAAAAATGGCCTGCATCACATTGTATTCCAGACTTGTTCTGCCAAATATACTCAAATTTGGTCTGTGTGAAACAATTGTGATTCACAGCGTCATTCTGGCAAGCACAGAAGATGTTTTTTTGGATCTGTCAGACCTTGGAAAGGTGAAATTGCAGTTACAGTAGGAGTTGGAAGATGGTAATTTGGTATTGGTATGATAAGAATTTTGGTATCTGTGAAGTACGAAGTGCCAGTAAAAAAAAAGTATACACACAGTTGCAAAATTATTCTTTAGGCGGCTTCCCAAGTTCTCGACTGCTTCTGATGGTGGCAACATAGGTGGGGGGAAAAAAGAGCTCCTTTTTTTGAAACCAAAAGCAGAGCATTAATTTCAGTACTCTGTAACAAATAGTTCAATCATGTCTTCAATGAAAGCTTTAGTTGAATTTTGCTCAGACTTCGAAGTTTCATTTTCTGACTTTAATCTTCAGAGACAGCTCTATCAGTTCTGGGAGAAGGTAAATCTGCTGCCTTGCTCTTACAGGTGGCTGTAGGCACTTAAAGAATTCTGAGCTGGAAAACTACTGAGAGAAGCAGCCTGTTAAGCATCCTGACGAACCGCATTGCGTATTTTTTGATGAAACTGGCAGGAAAGGCTGTGTTGTTTTTCTTTTGTATGTGTTACGGAAACTGTCCCAGGAATTCCTCCCAGATACCGCCTGAGAGGAGGTTGCAGCCGTGGCTACGGCTGTTGCTGTACTCTCTTCTGCCAAAGTTGAGTGTCATCCAGTGGCTCTTCAGATTGGGTTAAAGTCTAAAATAATTTCTCAGACTGACAAGTCTTCAGTGTGGCTTGTGTGTTTTTAAGGGATTTCACACCTATTTAGGAAAGGAAGTCTGAGCTCCTAAACTGCTTTATTTCCAAATTCTAGGGCCTAACCATGTACAGTAGTCAGATGAATACGTGCATATCAGAATGTGCTTCACTACATTTTAGACCAAGTTCTTTGACACCATTAATAACTGTAACATAATCATACGAGTGGAAGTTAGTATTCTAGCAGAGGGAAAAAAAAAAAAAAGGAAGACCACATTGTATCTTACTGATTTCTGGGGGAGCATTAGAGCAGTAAATAACAGGGTGTAGACTTGCATATTCACTAATCCATTCTGGTATGATCATTTCCTATTAATAAAAGTGCAAGCGACCTGGATCAGAAGCTGAAACTAAGTTAAAATTTGTCTTCTCTTGTATTAAAATGTGAGAAATCATGTTATAAACATTTAGGGAAAAAATGTGGGTAGAGAATTACTTTTTTTAAAAAAACAGTTTGTTACCAAACTCAGTGATTTTTTTTTGAATGTTTGTTGATTGTGATTTTGTATTTTTTACACTAGAGGGAGCAATACACACAGACCATCAACATTCACCAAAAAGATATTTAATATTTTCTTTTCAAAATGCTGCTATTAAAACTTTTTACTGGTGAGCAGTCTTTTCTGCTTCTAGTATTTGTAGCCCATCAAAAGTAGCTTTGTCTGATGTTCTTGCTGCAAGTGGACCCTTTTGGGAATGCTTATTTTTAAACGTAGAGCTAGTACATAGAACAGCAACTCAGGATTTTCTGGCTCTCTTACTTTATGTCTAATGGCTAGTGACAGGCTAGTTTTTACACTATTTTATTTAGCTGTTGATTTTCTTTTCAGAGGTGTACTGCTATGGGTGGATTCTGTAGTGTTAAACACAGAAAATGACTCGGCTGCTTGCTGCAAGTAATGCAGTGCAAGTTGAACACACAGCAATTATCAACAAAAAAACTGAAGTTTGGAGGTGAAGGTGTGAGATGAGACAATTGCTCTGTCCTGCAGGCTGGCAAAGAAGGTTGTCTTGAAGATATTCACAAGGGAATTAAATAGACTTAGTTCTGGTGTGTGATGGTGTGGGTAAAGGTCGTTATCTGTAAAAGGAAAACACTTCTTCCTCCCCCCTCCACCTTGTTAGGTCTGTAACACAAATGTAGAAGTGAAATGGAAATGGAGGAAGCATTTACTGCCCACATTCTCCTTAACACCTTTTGGTTAGCTTGTTTACATTTTTGTATAACATCATTCAGTTATGACTTACCTATTTTATCAGTTCTTCCTTGAAAGAGTTATTTCCTCTAAAACTTCTCTTATAAGGTAGAAAAAGAGTAAATCTTTAGTAAAGCTAATGAAAGTTTAAAAATATTCTTTTGGAATAACATGAAATTGATAAATAAGGTTTTTTAAAACTTTTTGGGAAACTGGTATTTGATGAGAGGAGGGAGCTGTAAATTTATTTTTATATGCCTAGTGATTCAGCTTTCTTTTATTGCCAGTGCACAGAAACTGCTATCAAATCTCTGCTGGTCAGGGAGGAAAATGTAAGATCTCAGCAGCTGTACTTTAACTGTAAGGTTATTCAAGATCCCTTTCTCTTTGATTGTTTCTATAGTGTTAAAAATCTAAGACTGCAGTGACTGCAGTCGCCCTGTTCTATCTTCTGCAAATACTACATGGAGAGAGGGGACAGAATAAGGAATATTTTTATTTATTTATTTAAATTTAATTATCTTTAAAATTTTAAAATTATTCCCAGCGATATCACATATCTTAGAAGACAGTCCTCTGGTCAAACTGCTGCTTTGCTGCCTCTGTTGGTTGTTTTCACAGTTCCTCCAAGCTCAGCTCGTTTTTTTGTTTGACTGTTTTGGTGTCTTCACTGCAACAAGTCAGTGCTGCCAGCAAACCAGGGAAGTCTCAGCGTCCTGGGCTAATGTCTCGGTGTACAAAGAGGTCTGGGGTAATGTGAATAGTTTCCATGTCCAGTCTTTGATTGCTCCTCTTTATACAATGAGCCTAAGTATTTCTAGTACTTTTCCCATCTACCCCATTAATCTGCATTTTAGCAGGGTTTTGCTGTTGCCTAAGCTGTCTGGAGCCATTCTTGGCTGTGAAGGGCTTCACTTTCCGAACCCTAGGGAGATCTGACTGTATGCTCTGTTCAACTTCCCTGGCAACAGCCCCAGGTAACGGATTTGTTTTAGCCTAAGACGATGTGTTAGGGGAGCTCACACATCTTCCTCATCTATGTTCAATTATTGCGTCCTTCACTCCTCCATACTTGGCTCTATGAGGACAGGAATTCTCACATATATATTCTTTTATATATATATATATTCTTATAGCATAAAACAAAAGAAAAAGCTTATCTAAATACATGGAAAATACAAGGACGATAAAGGAAAATCTGTGCTTGTCATTTTAATGGGAAAACAGAGTTGCTAATAGATGATGCAAAGCTGATGAAGGATTGGAGTTGTTTTGATTGATTTCTTTGCTTCACTCTTCACAAAGAGAGTTGTTTTGAGATGATGGTAGGTCATTTTTTCATACTCCTAGTCCCTGATAAAAAGAAGTTGATAATATCTTCCTTATCTAACTATTCTTTAGGGCTGTAGAAGCTTGATGCTTATGCTCAAGCAGATGGAGAACTACAGGAAGAACATTAGCAGTTTGTGTCAATAAGTCAAATGGGAACTATAGGAAAAACATTACCAATTTTCATCATGAGCTCATGAAGGATTTTGGGGCTTTCTAAAGAACTGGAGAAGTGCTAAAGTAGTGTATTCATTTAAAAAGAGGGATTTGGAGAATTGTCCACCAGTCTTGCTAAAGATGAAGCCACTGCAAGGACATGGTGAGAGAAGTAATGGTGGCTGGATTTTAGGTGGAAAGGTAGTAGTCGAGAGATGGGCAGAGAGAGGGCAAGTATTGTCCTACTTTCCTACTTAGAAAGATACAAATTATGTGGATTTATAAGCAGTTAAAAGTTATGGAGAACAATTTTTAGTTTATTTCAAAATATTTCTTACTTCTGTAGGATAGGATAACAGTCCTAATGGTGGATAAAAGGGGAAGTAAGAGTTGGAATTACTTTTGACCTCACCAATGCTTTTGAAGTTCTTCATCGTGTTTTCTTAGGTGAACAAGAAAAATATCACCTAGAGCAAACAGGTTTTTGAAAAACTGCAGCAGTTCACAAAGTAATTGTCAATGGTTTGATGTGAAACTGAGAGAACATTTTCAATAGTCTGACTTTGCATCTGCATATTAGTGAATACTGTTTAATACTTCCATGCTAAATAGCACTGCAAAACTCTTAAATGGTAGT